CCCCTGATCAAAGCATATTACGAGGGCGGGAAAATTCCGAGCCCGGAACATGGCATAGTCACAGGGGATACGGTATGGGTCAAAAGACACCAAGTAAGGACTCTTGAACCCAGGTAGAAGGGACCTTACGTTGTATTGTTTACCACCCCCACTGCTCTCAAGGTTGACGGTATCGCTCCTTGGGTGCATCACACCCACGTTCGGAAGGTCCTGCCTCACAAAAACCCGGGTGATCACGAGGAAGAGTGGAAAGTGCAGCAGCATCCTGCGAATCCCCTGAAAATACACCTAAGCCGAAGATGAAGGGGATCCTGCTGATAAGTGCCTTCGTATGGACTCTCGAGGAAGCTACATCGGTGAAGCTGATTCCAGGGCCCGCAAGAAAACCGGGTTCGGGTCTCTCCGGGTTAGGTAACCCCTTATGGGAAATGGTGCAGGCATTCACAGAGACTCTGAACCGCACCACTCCCTCCCTCCCTCACCGATCCCTGTTGGTTATGCTATCCAGGTTCACCCCCCTTCTGTGAGGCAATCGGGATAAATGGCTCCTACACCATTAACGACTCCTATCCCATTTATTGGGACAGGGGGCCGAGGGGACTTACAATCGCTCAGGTCTCAGTCACGGGAACATGTGTAAGCTCAGTCCTGATAATCTGGAGCCAGTTATGCTTGTCCTACACGTACAATACATGGAAGCAGGACAAGTGGATTATACCCTCCTCGGGTTGGTGGCTCTGTTTAAAGACAGGCCTCACCCCGGCCATATCCACCTCTGTGTTTAATGCTAACAGTGAATTTTGTGTACTTGTGGCCATTCTACCACGCCTAGTATATTGTTCTCATGAGACCCTCCTTTCTTATTGGGAAGAATGGCCAAACCCCCACAGGGAAAAAAGGGAAGTTATTACCGCCTTGACTATTGGGGCCCTTTTTCCCCTAGGGATGGCAGGGGCTGGCACAGGGGTCGCAGCCCTTGTAACTCGAGAACAGAGGCTCACAGCACTGAGGCGGGCTGTCGACAGGGACCTAGAACAACTTCGACAGACAATATCAGACTTGGAACAATCTCTTACCTCCTTAGCTGAGGTGGTCCTACAAAACAGAAGGGGCCTGGACCTCCTGTTCTTAAAAGAAAGTGGACTGTGCGCGGTCTTAAAGGAAGAGTGTTGCTTCTATGTAGAAAAAACAGTTGCAGTCAGAGATTCCCTGGCCAAACTAAAGAAAGATCTAGAGAAGAGGTGTAAAGAATATGACAGTAGCAAAAGCTGGTTTGACTCTTGGTTCAAATACAAACCTTGGTTCGCTACCCTACTCTCGGCTGTTACAGGGCCACTGGTCATCTTGCTGTTATTGCTTACGATTGGTCCATGCATAGTAAATAGGCTGCTTAGGTTTGTGCGGGAAAGGGTTAACGCCGTCCAACTTCTGGTCCTTCGACAGAGATATCAGGCCCTGGATGCCGCTGTGGAACATTCCTCAGTTTAATCAAGAAAAGGGAGGAATGTAGAGGGATGCAGGGAACAGGGCTGAGCCACCCAGTTTTCGTAGAAACTACGTGAGGCTAACATTCCTGGACCCTACCCTAAGTTAGATAACTAGAAGTAAACGACCCCCCTGGGGTCGAAACTCGTGATAAGTCACATAGGAATGCCTGTGCAAAGGTCAGGCACCTGGTGTATCCCTGTTCCAATTTTATTGGCCAAAGTATAGAATGTGTTTCACATTCATTGGTTGGGGTAATGTGCAGGCTCCGATGCAATGACTGTAGAAATCCCATATAAACCATACCTAAAGTTGCTTGGGGGTCGGCAGCTCGGACTCGGCCTGCGTGTCAGGGGAGGTGCTGTCGACCCCAGCTTGCTGGCTGAATAAAGACTTTGCTTGGATTTTCATCTCCGTGTCCGTGTGTCTTGTTCTCTGGGAAACCCCGGAGTCCTGGACCCTAACAAGATCTGATGTAGTTATTTTGCAAACTGGCCAAACTAATTTAGCATGCTGTCCCAGCCAAAACACTGTAAAAGGCAAGAAAGATTCCACCTTAAAGATAAGACTGCGCTTAACTTATTCTTTAGCAAATAATGCCTCAGCCCACGTTGGGGTTTCATATGTCCCCAGACCAAGATGCTGGTATCTCAGGGAGAAATCAACAGAGCAGGAGTTACTTGTATCAAGTTAATTGTAAATATCCTAGGACCACCTAACAAGTCCACACCCCTAAGCTTTTTTTTCATGTTCTCGAAGAATCCTCATCTGCCTATAAAACCCCCTAGACAACGCACCACTCCGGGTTCTCCTGTCCCCTCCTGGCGTAAGCCGGGAGCTCTATCTGTCCTCTCACTGTATCTCTCAATAAAAGCCTCCCTGGCTCTCCTACCTCGACTGTTTACTAAGTTCAACAAGAACCCCGGCATCAACACGACTGTAAGTTAATTCACCCATACATTTACTCACTCCGTCCCTCCCACTCTGGAAAGGAAGTCCCTAAGCCCACAGGACAGCCGCCCAAGTCTGTGCGGCAGCAGGGCTCATCCTTGAGACTACATTTCCCAGGCGGCCACGGGGCTGCCCAAGGCTCCGATTGGCTCGTTTGTGCGCGTTCCGTGCTGCGCGCAGCGGCCACTCACCTCCCTGCCCCCGGGTCACAATCGAGTGAAAGGCCGCGCCAGCCCCCGTCCCCGGAGCCCAACGGTACGGCCCTTCCTCACCTACAGACCGAGACACAGGCCGGCTGCTTCAGCAGGGCTGCGGGGTTCTGTGCCCCTGCCCATCTCCTGCCTCACAGCGCCGCTTACCGGACGCGACCCAGCCCAGCTTCCATCTTGTCGGCAGAGGCGGAAGGTCGCCAGCAACCGCGGGGACTGGAGGAGGTCGCGAGGATCCCACCCCCGACGGCGCTCTAGGCCCTGCGCCCAGCGTTCCCGGGGCGGCCGCGGAATGTAGTTAAGCTGCGAGGCCTTTCTGCGCGGTCCGGACGCAGACGCCCGAAACTGTCTCTGCCTAAGGCTAGTTTTTTCTACGCTTAATTTTCCACTAGTGTCTTTCCAAACTCCTGCTTCCTGTCTCTGTCTTTTCTTCATCCTCACTGCCTCCTTCCCTTTCTGATCTGTTTTCCTTCCCCCTGTCCGTCCCCCATTCCGGAAACCGGTTCCTTTCAGACTATCAAAATACAATTTTCAAAAAAGTTAAAAGCGAACTCTGTGAGCACATGTCAAAAATTTATTTACCTCACGGAGGAACCACAGGAACCACGCAGGATAACACAGGTGATTCCATGAAGATGAGAAGGAACAATAGGGTGAAAGAACGAACACAAAAGCGCAAAGTCGAACTACATCCCTATAGGGCAGTGGGTGGGCCACGGCGTCTTCGTGTCCTACAACCCTAACCACAAGCATTCGCAATCTGTCAACCTTTTTGCAAGTTAGCATGTAACTTCACAGTGCTTGGAGTCTGATCAAAAGTTACGTACGTCAAAAAGATTTGCTTAGTTTAGGGAGTCGGATGATCTGAAGCGGCCTCGGTAGAACTGACGCTAAAGAACTCAGAGTGGACTCCCAGTTATCTTTTTTTGTCCTACTGCCGAGGTTTGGATAAGTTTTCCTAACACGCCTCCCTCCAACTCTGTCTTCTTGTCTGTCACCCTTCTCTGAGTCTTTGAAAACTCGCAGTCCATCTTACTGTATGTCTACTTTCTGTCCCTTTCTCCCCTCTTGCCTCCGTACTTTTCCATCTTGCCTGTCCCTTGCATGTCAATGCACTTCTTATCTCTGTAAATCTATTCCCCATCTCCGCCCCTTCCTGATCTCGCCCTCTGGCTAACTGTTCTGGCACACCTGTCTCTCCGGCCCTGACTCTTTGATCCGCTGGCTTATCACATTCTCAAGGTCTCTGAGATGTCTGTCTTTCCTACCCGTTTCTCTGTCTCTGTGTCTGTTCCCTTTCACTGCCTCCCCTCATCTCTCTCTCTCTGCCCCCCGCATGTCTCCGACTCCACCCAGCGGGTTACCTTAGAGACGCCGGGCCCGCCAACCGCCGCGGTCACAAAGCCCGGTCATCGCGCCGCGAAGCGAGCACGGACTGCCTGTCTGACTACACCTTCCAGAAAGCACCGGGCTGATCCTCTACATTTTGCCGAGCGGGCGGGAGATGGAGGCGGTGCCAAGCAATCCCCGCAGGGGGTTGCCAGGGAGATGCGGGCTGACCTCATCCTAACGAGGGCAGTGATTGGTGTAAAGCCCTGCTAATCCTGGGAAGGCCTGTAGAGATTTGGGGGAAACGTGGTGGGGGGAGGTGCGCTGTTGGGAAGGCGGTGCTCCTGTGCGTTGCTTCTCTGAAAAGCTTGCTCACGCCGACGGGGCCTGGATAACTGGATGTGAGGCGGGAGGCGCGCGAAGAGGCGTTGGGGAGTGTGACCTGATCGCTGCGAACGCTTCCCTGGGAAACAAGGGAGACGGGGTGGAAACAACAGGACCTGCCAGGCTCCCTAAGGTGGAATTTGCCCGCCAAGAGTTGTGGTGAATGTAGTTCAGAAACCTCCACAGGGACCGGCAGCCTCGGCGATGCCCAACTCTCTCCCAGTGTTTCAGATTGACCTGGAATCTTGAGGAACGGAGGTCTGACTTAGAGGATCAGGCGGCCCTCAAAATCGAATTCACCCCGTTAATAAACAAATTCATTCACAAATCCCGTGCCTTACCCACAGCTGCAGAAGGAGCAGCACAAACGGGGGAGGGTGGATTCCCTATTTGCAAATGAGGAAACCGAGATTCACAGAGGGACGGCGACCTGCCCAGGTTACGTAGCAAATAGGTGGGATCAGGCGTGCAGGCACCCGACCGCTCCCCTCTCACCTAGCCCGACCTAAATCAGGAAGCTGTGAAGACAGTGGGGCATTGTGTGCTGTTATAAATTGGGTTCAGAGGATGGGGCTGAACGCAGGGAGGGTGCTGCCTGGGAGCTGGGCCACACAGGTGACCTTGCACAGGTGGAGAGGGGGCTGGGGCGGTGTTTGGGGACAGACAGGTAGAAGGAAGCTGCCCTGGGTAACCAAGCCGGAAAGAGAATGGTCTGAGTCTGGGTAGAGGGGGTGGTGATGCAATGATGAGCTGGGTGTGGGTGGGAGGTAGTTAATGGTGCTGATGCCCAGCCAGTGGGTGTTACGGTAGGTGTCGTTAACCTGGTAGGGGGATAGCTGCACGGCAAGAATGAGGTGGTGCTTGTAAAGGGAGGACAGGATTTGAGATAATAGGTGCTTTCTGTGCCTACGAAGCAGCCAGTATTTGGAGCTGAGGACTCCAAAGACTACCAGAGACTGTTCTGGCACAGCTACAGAGGCCAGGGACGTGGGTGCCTCATAGAAGGCTTACCAGCCCCATGGGTCCCTGGCACTATCTCTGTGATCATCTCTCTGTACCTCAGTTTCCTCATCTTTTGTCTACTCAGGACAGATCTGAGGGTGAAACAATACAGCACAGAGTAGGTATTCAATTAGCAGTCGCTGCCTCCGTTTCTCCTCATCAAAGCAGCCCCATCCCATTCCTCCGCCAGGGGCTGACACTGGCCTTAGCGCTCCAGACCAGTCTCTCTGATGAGGCCCACAGCACTGGGCTCCCCAGGCCACACACCGCTGGAAGACGGGGAACCTGTCATGGTCAAGTTGGAAGACTCTGAGGAGGAGGGAGAGGCTGCCCTGTGGGATCCCGGCCCAGAGGCTGCACGCCAGCGTTTCCGGCACTTTCGCTATGAGGAGGCAGCAGGGCCCCAAGAGGCCTTGGCCCAGCTGCGCGCCCTGTGCCGGGACTGGCTGCGGCCCGAGGTGCGCTCCAAGGAGCAGATGCTGGAGCTTCTGGTGCTGGAGCAGTTCCTGGGCGCACTGCCACCTGAGATCGAGGCCTGCATAAGGGGACAGCAGCCAGGCAGCCCTGAGGAGGCTGCTGCCCTGGTTGAGGGACTGCGCCGGGAGTCAGGAGGGCCCCGGAGATGGGTGAGTTGGGCCCCTGAGCCAGGGTTGGGGTTGGAACAATATCCCATTCTACCTCACCCGGGGAGGTGGGTGCTGTGCTTGGCCAGATGCTTGTCCCTTGTGGTTTGGAAGTGGTCACTTACCAACAGATTCTGTGGAATAGTAGACAGAGTTCCAGGGCCAGCCTCACTGTCCCATCCTTACATCACCAGGAGTCAATGATCACGGGATGGGATGCAGGGTAGGGAAAGGAGAACATTGGGCAGTATTAGGTCTCAGCAGCAGGAGAGCAACTGCAGGTGGTCCCTTCCCTCCCTGCTTAGTACCTGAGGGAGGTGGGTCCTTTGAAGACCTAGTGAATCAGGACCCCTGGGGTCAAGAATGGGGTAGATGCCCATGAACCCCCTGCTTGAACAAACCCAGCTCCCCTCCTAGGCCTCTGATGGTGGGGGCACCTCCCCAGGTCACAGTCCAGGTGCAGGGCCAGGAGGTGCTATCAGAGAAGATGGAACGCTCCGACTTCCAGCACCTCCCTCAAACCAAGCTTCAGACTCCAGAACCTGGGCCTGAGAAGTCCCCTGAGGCCACACAGGAATGCTTGCTGGCCCTTCGGGTGAAAGAGGAGCCTGAGATTACAGAGGACCCAGGTGAGGGCAGGCAAGGTAGGCAGTGCCCATCCTGATTGGATGGACCAGAGGGGCCTGGCCAGAACAGTGTGAGCCCGGTGGGCCAGTCACCTGCTTGATGGAACCATTCCTATGCATTGGTGGCCCCCACATCCCCACAACCAGTGGTCATAACAGCCCTTTACACACCAAGCCTTACTGTCACTGATGTTTCCATGCTCTTCCCTGGCATGGAGTGGGCTGTTGGGGTTTCCGTTTATGGAAGGCATGTGGGGTTCACTCCCCAGGGTGATCCACTGGGAGACAACAGCCAGTCGGCAGTGTGCAGACAGCAATCTGGAGTATGTATAGGCATAGCTAAAGCAAAACCCCAAATACTGACAGGTATGCTCTGCCCTTGTGTTTCTCCCAGGCATGTGTCAGAGCTGACCACCCACATTCCGGTCATTCCTGCGTGGACCTGTATGCAGTACCCCTCTCCTGCCCTCACTGCCATACTGCCCTTGAACTCACATGCGGGGCACAGACTTTGGCTTTCCAGGTGCCCTGCTTTGCTCTACTCCAAGCTGGGCCCTTAGAGCTACCCTGCCATGCCCAGACCCAAGCCTGTACCTAGGTCTCACCCCACCAGGATCCCAGCATCTTGCATACCACTGAGGAGCGCTCCAGACCAGTCTCTCTGATGAGGCCCACAGCACTGGGCTCCCCAGGCCACACACCGCTGGAAGACGGGGAACCTGTCATGGTCAAGTTGGAAGACTCTGAGGAGGAGGGAGAGGCTGCCCTGTGGGATCCCGGCCCAGAGGCTGCACGCCAGCGTTTCCGGCACTTTCGCTATGAGGAGGCAGCAGGGCCCCAAGAGGCCTTGGCCCAGCTGCGCGCCCTGTGCCGGGACTGGCTGCGGCCCGAGGTGCGCTCCAAGGAGCAGATGCTGGAGCTTCTGGTGCTGGAGCAGTTCCTGGGCGCACTGCCACCTGAGATCGAGGCCTGCATAAGGGGACAGCAGCCAGGCAGCCCTGAGGAGGCTGCTGCCCTGGTTGAGGGACTGCGCCGGGAGTCAGGAGGGCCCCGGAGATGGGTGAGTTGGGCCCCTGAGCCAGGGTTGGGGTTGGAACAATATCCCATTCTACCTCACCCGGGGAGGTGGGTGCTGTGCTTGGCCAGATGCTTGTCCCTTGTGGTTTGGAAGTGGTCACTTACCAACAGATTCTGTGGAATAGTAGACAGAGTTCCAGGGCCAGCCTCACTGTCCCATCCTTACATCACCAGGAGTCAATGATCACGGGATGGGATGCAGGGTAGGGAAAGGAGAACATTGGGCAGTATTAGGTCTCAGCAGCAGGAGAGCAACTGCAGGTGGTCCCTTCCCTCCCTGCTTAGTACCTGAGGGAGGTGGGTCCTTTGAAGACCTAGTGAATCAGGACCCCTGGGGTCAAGAATGGGGTAGATGCCCATGAACCCCCTGCTTGAACAAACCCAGCTCCCCTCCTAGGCCTCTGATGGTGGGGGCACCTCCCCAGGTCACAGTCCAGGTGCAGGGCCAGGAGGTGCTATCAGAGAAGATGGAACGCTCCGACTTCCAGCACCTCCCTCAAACCAAGCTTCAGACTCCAGAACCTGGGCCTGAGAAGTCCCCTGAGGCCACACAGGAATGCTTGCTGGCCCTTCGGGTGAAAGAGGAGCCTGAGATTACAGAGGACCCAGGTGAGGGCAGGCAAGGTAGGCAGTGCCCATCCTGATTGGATGGACCAGAGGGGCCTGGCCAGAACAGTGTGAGCCCGGTGGGCCAGTCACCTGCTTGATGGAACCATTCCTATGCATTGGTGGCCCCCACATCCCCACAACCAGTGGTCATAACAGCCCTTTACACACCAAGCCTTACTGTCACTGATGTTTCCATGCTCTTCCCTGGCATGGAGTGGGCTGTTGGGGTTTCCGTTTATGGAAGGCATGTGGGGTTCACTCCCCAGGGTGATCCACTGGGAGACAACAGCCAGTCGGCAGTGTGCAGACAGCAATCTGGAGTATGTATAGGCATAGCTAAAGCAAAACCCCAAATACTGACAGGTATGCTCTGCCCTTGTGTTTCTCCCAGGCATGTGTCAGAGCTGACCACCCACATTCCGGTCATTCCTGCGTGGACCTGTATGCAGTACCCCTCTCCTGCCCTCACTGCCATACTGCCCTTGAACTCACATGCGGGGCACAGACTTTGGCTTTCCAGGTGCCCTGCTTTGCTCTACTCCAAGCTGGGCCCTTAGAGCTACCCTGCCATGCCCAGACCCAAGCCTGTACCTAGGTCTCACCCCACCAGGATCCCAGCATCTTGCATACCACTGAGGAGGGTAGTGGACTGGGACATCCTTGGGCCACCTGACCCCACCCTTTCTCTCCAGAGCTCCAGGATGCTGAACCTCTAGTCAAGCCCCAGGAGGCCACTTCCACTCCCCAGCCTGAAGAGGTCCAGGTGAGCCCTGCACAGGCTGGACCTCTCTCCCTGCCCTGGGAGCCTCTGTGGGTAGGGGTGGGTTAGTTTCCTCCCTGGTCCTAGTTGGGCACAGACAAGCAGTGACCACTGTTGTTTCAGAGCTGTGGGATAGCACTGGACCAGGCCTCTCCCCACAGCAAGACTGGGCCTGAGGGGCCCTCATGGAGGGAGCACTCTGGGGCCCTGTGGCAGGAGGACGCTGGCAGAGTCTTCTCTCAAGGTAAGTAAGAAGGGGTATAGCAGGTCTGGGCCTTCCACATGGACAGCACCACACCCATCCCTTCCCTGGCTGTGCTTAGACAGCCCTTTCACTCTAGCATCCCAGGCTCCCCTGTTCCCCTATAACTTTCAGCTTGCTTCAGCATCTCCTGCCCTCAAAAGCCAAGCCCCCACACTGGATTCACAACCCATCTAACTGCTGCTGTCCACCACAGTAAAACCTCTGGAGAGTGGGGCCTGTGTTCCCCACGCCCATGTCCTCTTCCAGCCCTGGCACCCTGGATGGCTTCCAGATTCTGGGTTTGCATCCCACTGATTGGGTGACAGGACAGGAGGGTTGGCATCTGGCAAGGACAGCAGGTTAGTAGACAGGGTGGGCAGGTAGGAGGCACCCTGTGGGGATCAGGCCAGGACATCCAGGCCAGGGGCGCCCCCTGCTGTCCACCTTAGCCACACCGCCCTGGTGGGCCATCACCAGGCTCCCTGCTGCCCCTCTCTCCCTGCTCCCTGGACCTCTTCTTTTTCTTGGTTTACTCCCTTGTTCTGCTGGACCTTTCCATGAATTCTGGTGTGGGAGATAAAGTTCAAAGACATTACCTATCTAAAACTCATTTGTCTAACAAAATTTGGCTACACAAATAATTCATTTATTAACTCAGTCTTAGTCCTTTTTTATCACCATTGTTGGTGAGCCCTTTTGTGTGGGAAATTGGCCTGATCTTGGTTTCCTTCCAACCTGTTGTTTTTAGAATGCCAGTTACCTGACTGTTGCTGTCTGGGACAGGTCCTCTAATGCTCTTATCCTTTAACTCCAATTTCTGGTTCCTTTCTGTTGTATTTTCCAGAAATTTTCTTCAATATTTTCCATACCTTCTGTTGAGATTTTCACGTCTGCTGGTATAGTTTTAATTTCCAAGTGTTTTCACTCCCCAAACATTAATTTTCATAGCCACTTCCCATTGTTCTTAGAATTGTCATGTCTTTCCTTATTTCTCTGAGGGTAGCGATAACTTGCTTTTTAAGTTTTCTTTCCTTAATGTGATCTCTTTTCCCTCCAAGTTGTCTGCTTATTTGTAAGACCTGAGGACCACAAATCTGGCAGTTTTGAGCAGGTGGGTGAGGGGCTTTTCAACCATGACAATCCAGGGCTCCAAGGGATGCAGGGGGGTCAATCCCCAGGAAGGCCCCATTCTGGGAGAATGTAAGCACGTGGGTGCAGTGTGAGTGAATGCTGCCGAAGGATCCATAGGGCAATCTGGGCTGTGTGGAGGCACCCCTTGATGTGAGCATCTTTAGGTCTTTCCTCTGAGTCCTCCAAGGCACTTCCAGCGTCTTTCCAGCATCCTCGGAGAGAACCTGATGTGTCAGCACCCAGTGTGACTTCACTTAATCCCTCCACTTCCCTCAGTATGGTCTCTCACTCTCAACCCAGCCTTTTGCCAGGATCGAAGAAGAAATCCAAGAATCAGATCCACTGAGTCTAGAGCTACAGCAATGCACACAGTTTGCTCAGGATTTTGTACAGACAGAGCCCAAGGCTGTTAGATGCAGTAGCCCTGCCCAGCTTCTGCTTCTGAAACCGACTCCCCAGCCCACTTCCTTCACCTGCACAGCCAGAGGTACTTGGTACCTCCAACTCCAAAACTTTTTGAGCTGCCTTTGGGATAAAACGTTGATTTTTTTCTCCCTGTTTTCCTCACTGCTGGCTTAGTATTCAGTTTCTCCCATAAGCTACACAGTTAACACGTGCCCATTGACCTCACAGAGTAGAAAATACCAGAGATTTGTTTGTTTCCTCTTCATCTTTATGGATATTATGCCTTTGGGGGGAAAATACACAACTTTATTGCAGTTTACTTTTGTTTTACGATGGAACAAATTTTAAATAGATCCTACTGTTATCCAGATGTCCCAATTGGCTATGCTTTCTTTTTTACTCTTTTTTCATAATATTTTATGCATGCTGATCCCTCCTTTGAGGATTTGAAAATACTTTAGTGTCCTCTCCAGACTGGTTAGTTAGCTTGGTTTCTTCAGGTGTGAATTCTCCCACTGGTAACACTGTTGACAGCCTGTCCTTCACAGCTGTCGGAGCTTCTTGTTTGTACCCACCCTAAGCATCATCCTAGGTGAGACACTGCACCAGGGTCCATCATAAGTCCCTGAAGTAAAGGATCATCTGGGCCCCAAGCTATCCAGTGAAGACACCTCTGCAGCCTTGCCGAGCAAGCAGCTTATTCCTGGCCAGGTCTTTGGGTGGACCGAGCTAACACAGCTCATGTTCTCAACCCTTAGCTTAATTATGGAGCCTGGCTTTAGTTACTGGATCTCCACAGCCTTAGGGGATTTAGAACTCACTGCATGAGGCTCTGGGCTCCTAAAACTTACTAACTGTCCTTTTTTGCTTGGGATCTTCCCACAGTATTTTTTAAGTTATTCTTGGGTTCTGTCTGTCATTTCTGTGTGTAGGAGCTGAGAGAGAATCTGGCACATGCCCCTTCTGCTGCTTCAGTCTTCAGCCAACTGGCCGGGCTCAGCCTATGCTGTGTGGCTGACCACTCCCTCCAGCTTGGACCTGGTTCTCTCTCAGTTCAGTCTCTCACCTTTCTCCAGACACACCAGCAGCACCACTGCAGGCCCCGTGAAGGATTATTTTTCAGCAGACCCATTCAGTCCTCAGGCTGCACTCCCCATGGACAACTGAAGCTCCCAGCCTCAAACAGTGATTCCCCTCAGCCATCTTGGTATCCCCATCAGGTCTCCTGGCTGCTCCCCTTGCCCTTCAGCTGAGTATGTGTGCAGCCAGTGTTTTCATCATGAGAGTATTTTGAATAGTTAATGCATTGTCATGTCAGAAAATCCAAAAGGCACTAGAGAGTATATAGTGGAATGGCCCTCCCCTGCTGTCACACAGTTCTGATCCCCAACAGCATCATTATGAGTTTCTTGTGTGTCCTTCCAGAAAGATTTTGTGCAGAGTAAAGCAAACATAAATTCTTATACATACTCACTTCCTTTCTTCAGTAGACATGTGGATGCTTAATCTTTACCCTGTTACACACCTATTTTTGTGCATCTTCCACTTCAACGCACAGCACCTAGGGCCCTCGTCTTTAGACAGCTGCATAGAGCCCGCTTTGGACACACTGTTACTTATCCACTCAGGCTCCTACTGGTATTCCTTTGGGTTGATTTTCAGTAATCATCTGAGAAACCTAGTATGTAGGTTATTTTGGACAGTGGGGAACACAAAGTTTGGGGAAGTCCCTAAAAGTGGAACTACTGGATCAAAGTGTGGGAAATTTGCCATTTTTTATGTATTTTGCCACACTGGCCTCCCATTTATGCTCAACAGCAATGTACACAAACACTTGGGTCCTTGCAGTTTTCTTATTAGGAGGGTACTGAACATACAGGACTTCAGCATTAGCTACGTTTCCTTTCCTAATCACATCCTTTGAACATTTGTCTGGTTGTTGGTTTTCCTTGTTGACTCATTGGAGCTCTTTACTTAAGGTTAATTACCCTTTGCTTCTGTTGAGTTTCTCAGTTTGCCATTCGTTTTTTGACTCTGAGATGGTTTTTGCTGTGCACAAGTGATTTCCTTTGGTTCAGCATTATTTATCTGACTTCTCTTTACTGGCTTATGGATTTTTTTGTCACCCACTGAAGCCCCTGCTACTCCCTCTTTTGCTTGCTCTGGGCTTCTTCCTCTTCCACTGGTCTGTTTCTCAGTTGCCCTTGCTTACACTTCCTTACTCACATGACATCTAACGATGGAGCACTCACAGCGTGGTGGCACCCACTCCTTTTCTCCATAGACACCCACGCCTATTTGATTGCATGCACACCCAAGTCCCCATACGTCATGCCTATGTCACAGTACCCATGTTCACACTTCCCTGCATACTGAGCCTCTGACTCTTGCAACCCACGGACTACATGTGAGTCTTTGTCCCTCAGACACTGCATCAAGCAAGGTACGTCAGACCAAAGTATCGGAGGCCATTCCCTGCCTTCCTCTCCTTCCCCACCCCCACCCCTCCATTGGCTTCCTGTCTGCTCCGCTTCCAGCCTCCCTCAAACCCACCTACTTCTCTGCATTCGTAGAAACTGTCATCACTCACCTGGACAGTGCAAGGGCCACCTGCCCCACCTTTGCCCAAAGCCCTGCCGGGAAAATGATTTCTGCAAACTTAAGTCAGACCTGGAAAGCTTGTCCCCAGCTTCTCAGTCTTCCTCCTCATGGAAGGTTCTGTCCCACTGTCACCTCCTTAGGGAAACCTGCACAGATGGAATCCCTGCCCCTGCCCACATCACCTCTGCCTGCTTCATGGGCCAGTTTCAGGTCCTTCTAGTTCACACTGTTTCCCCAGGGCTGGAGTGGGTCCAGGCATGGTTGTCTGTCATGAATGAGTGGATCCTCCTGTGCAATACAGGGTTTGCACTCCAAATAGACAGCGTCGCTGCTGGCCCTGGCACCGTGAGCCCCCACCTCCATATCCCGTGGGATCTTGGTGTGGCCAGTCTTACAGGCCAACGGCTGTCACCCTCCCATGAAGGTAGCGTTCCCCACACACTCCTGCTCTCCAGCAACCCAAGAAGTGACCAGGAACCTATGGATGAGGATCCCCACTACAGCGTGGGCTCTGTACTGACCACTGCCCGCTGGCGTGCCCCCAGGGGCCGGGGCCGCGGTCGCGGCCGCCCAAACACAGGTGCTGGAGCGGTGCGAGGTGGCCGATGCGACGTGTGCGGGAAGGTGTTCAGCCAACGCAGCAATCTGCTGAGGCACCAGAAGATACACACCGGAGAGCGGCCCTTCGTGTGCGGTGAGTGCGGCCGCAGCTTCAGCCGCAGCTCACACCTGTTGCGCCACCAGCTCACGCACACGGAGGAGCGACCATTCGTGTGCAGCGACTGCGGCCAGGGCTTCGTGCGCAGCGCGCGCCTGGAAGAGCACCGACGCGTGCACACCGGAGAGCAGCCCTTCCGCTGCGCCGAGTGCGGCCAGAGCTTCCGGCAGCGCTCAAACCTGCTGCAACACCAGCGCATCCATGGAGACCCCCCAGGCCCTGGCGCTATGCCCCTAGCTCCTACTGGCGAGCCAGAGGCCCCAGGCCCCTTCCCTTGCAGTGAGTGTCGTGAGAGCTTCGCGCGGCGTTCCGTACTGCTGGAACACCAGGCGGTGCACACGGGTGATAAATCCTTCGGCTGCGTGGAGTGCGGAGAACGCTTTGGCCGCCGCTCAGTGCTGTTGCAGCACCGGCGTGTACACAGCGGCGAGCGGCCCTTTGCCTGCGCTGAGTGCGGCCAGAGCTTTCGACAGCGGTCCAACCTCACGCAGCACCGGCGTATCCACACAGGCGAGCGGCCCTTCACCTGCGGCGAGTGCGGCAAGGCGTTCCGTCAGCGGCCCACGCTCACGCAGCACCTGCGCGTGCACACGGGCGAGAAGCCCTTTGCCTGCCCCCAGTGCGGCCAGCGCTTCAGCCAGCGTCTCAAACTCACGCGCCACCAGCGGACACACACTGGAGAGAAGCCCTACCGCTGCAGCGAGTGCGGCCTGGGCTTCACGCAAGTCTCACGGCTCACTGAACACCAGCGCATCCACACCGGCGAGCGGCCTTTCGCTTGCCCTGAGTGCGGCCAGAGTTTCCGGCAGCATGCCAATCTCACGCAACACCGAAGAATCCACACAGGTGAGCGGCCCTATACGTGCCCTGAGTGTGGTAAAGCCTTCCGCCAGCGGCCCACACTCACACAGCACCTGCGCACCCACCGGCGCGAGAAGCCCTTTGCCTGCCAGGACTGTGGCCGCCGCTTCCACCAGAGCACCAAGCTCATACAGCACCAGCGCGTCCACACTGTAGAGTAGCCAGCACTGCACCGGGTCTCTGCGTCCACCCCGGTCTTCTGTGTGGGCGTGGGGGCAGAACACCTACCTCACAGGGTTGTTGTGAGGTATTAGCAGTGTGCCCGGTACCTGACCCACAGTGGTGCTCAATAAACAACAGATGGAACCTGGGTCCGGGTATCCACCCACTCAGCGCCTTCCTACCTGCACAGGTCCCTCTGTGCCCCTCCCACCCATCCACCACTCTGCAACCACAGCACCCTGCAGAATTGGCTCCTAGCAGTGCCTGCCCCCATCTGTGGGGTGCCCCCTTGTACCATGATCCCTGTACTATTTGCCCATGATGCCTTTGACCCACACATCAGGTGGCCAAGCCAACTTCCTGTCAAGAAGTGGCCCAGTTCTCCAAAGCCAGCCAAGATCGGTGGATACATAAGTAGCAAATGTGCCCATCACACCAGGGCCATCCTGGGTATGGGTGTTTGTAAAACTTTAAACATACGAGGACATTTCTTATAGGTGTAAAAGCTGGAAGGTTTTATCTGGAAATCCAGGTTATTTCAGGACTTCCCTCAATTCCCACCGGCTTACCACCATCAGGTACTGAAGATGGGGGGAACCCCTTCCAACCAGACCCCAGCCATCTGAGAGCTGAAGTCAGCTACAGGCCCTAGGCCATTCCTCCAGTCCTCTGGTGATCGTTCCCATCCCATGGACCACAGTCTCCCTGCGCACTGGCCCAGAGCACAGCCCCTCAGGGCTCACCCTGGTCTCCATGAGGAGCATGTTCAGCAAGTTACAGGATACACAGCAGCAGTTTACATGAAAGTGGACCGACACTGCCAGTGCGGGTTCAGTGTCCCGCAGACTTAGAGCTGGTGTTTCTGAAACCATAGCCTTTTCCTGTGCCATTGCCTCTTTTACCCTTTTTCCCCCTTCCATTCCACTGCCCAGACCCTTGACATAGCACCCTGTCCCACCAGGGGGTGCCCTGGATATCAGAAACATGCCAAAGAAGGGATCTTCATGGAGCTTGGGACCTAAACCCCACTCTGGGCAGGTGGGATGGGGGTTCTAGGAACAGTCTTTCACGGCTTTTATGTCCAAGCTTGTCAGACAGATAGCAGCTGCACTTTCCTCACCAGGAGCCCTACAGGACTGGGACTCTGGCATCAGAGGAAAGAGACATGCCAGTCTGGCCCAGAAGCTATGTTCACACCTCCAGGTGCACATCCATGGCACTCCTCAACCTCCCTCCCCCCATCCCCATATTCTGATCAGTCCCTCCAAGACACCAGCCACAGCTTACAGCTTCAAGGCCTTTGCACATGCTGAGCCCTGTGCTGCCTCCTAAGAGGCTACAGGCCCAGGGGCTACAGGCACCCTCATCATCCCAACCACTCATGCCCCTCTGCCACTTAGCTGACCATGAGAATGACAAGGAAAACACAGTTGTACCACTTCTAACCCAGCCCCCTGCCTCAGTTCAGCCGTCACTTCCACCACGGCCTGGACTCTATGGCCCTCTTCTTCCAGCATTTTGTTACATGGTCGAGTCTTCCCCACTGGCCGGCGTGGGTGGGGAGGGAGAGACTACAAGGTCAGAGATCACACAAGTCCAACTTTGCCTAGTTCAGCATCACCTCTTCAAGGAACCAGTACCCCATCCCTGGAGGGCCCTCAGTTGATGGGCCTCAGCAACTGGACTGAGAGTGGACACTTGGGACATGAGAACCCAGTGGGCCACAGGAACCACCCCTGAGACTTTTTGGCAGAAAACAGCAGGGTGGTGACCAACCCTTATATGGAGATGTCCTTCACGAACATAATCACCAAGGGCAAAGCAGCTGAGAAGAAAGAAGAGAAAGGGACAGAGAAAAAAGGGAGGTAAGTGTCCCAAGATTGGCCTATCTGCAGCATGAGAACTCTGTGATGGCTGCGTTCGTGTCATTCCCAAACCTGAGCTGTTTTGAGTCTTCTAAGCCCCCATCCTCATCCCAGCACCTCTTCAGCATTCAGCTCTCAAAAGTTGGACACTGAGAGCAAGAGGCTGGGAAAACCTGAAGGCCTTAGGGGGGCATCTGGGATGGTGTCATTGAGAAAAGGGTCAAAAGGTGAAGAAGCAGTTGCAGAGACCGGGCTGGGAACAGTCTATGGAGCCCAGAGATGCCAAGGGTACCACTGCACGCACAAGGCAGGGTCTCCGAAGAGGCTGTGGCCAGGATGGAAGCCAGACCAGGATCCCAGGATCCGAAGAGGTGGAGACGACTCCCCGAGGTGAGGGTAGGGAATCGGGGTGGATGCCCGGTCCGGGTGCGAGGAGGCGCTGGGGATGAGTGGTCGTCAGGGTGACTCCACCGAGGTGATGACCTCGATCTGGGCCGCTGCTGACGGCCGAGAGTGAGCGAAGAGCACGCCTGCCCTACCTCAGCCCTGGATCAACTGGACCGCCGGGATAGCTTCTCCCACAGGGCCCCGAAGAGTGACGTCCGTCCCCTCAGTGACCTCAGGGGAGGTGCGGCAGAAGCCGCGCTCGGACGCGGAAGGGCTGAGCTGCAGAACCCGGGACGCCCGCACGTGGCGGGGTCTAGCGGCGCCGCTCACCAATCCGAAGGTTTCTGTGGTGACAGCCTGGTGCAGCAGATCCGCCCCGCGCCACTTCATCAGCACCCGAAGCACGCTGAGTTTTGATTGGAGGGGAAGCTGGCCCCGCCCGCGCTGCGCCGTACAGATGGCGGAAGATAGTAGTGCGTCTCCGCTGAGCGGCCACGCCCCTTGTCCCGTGCCCTAAGTGTCCACCCATGTGAGCTCCAAAGTGTTTTCCACTCTCTGGCACAATACATGTTTTATTTGCCAAATTGCCTCAGCTAGAACATCGGCGAACGGGTTGTTTGGGCTTACGATAGGACACCGAGAGTGCTCGACCCCGTAGCCTAGGGACAACGTTCCTGGCCTCGCCCAGATTCTGGCCCGCCGCGATCACTCTAGCTGTCTGACCTCCGTTTGACCCAACCCCGCCGCGGTCTCCACGGGTGGACTCCGAACGAAATGGCCCGCATCAGCCCCACTAAAGATGGCAGTAGCACCGTCCCCTGCCTGGACCCGCGAGCATTCCCGGAAGTGACCGCGGAACGGCGGGCACGAACGGAAACACCCGAACCCAGCCGAAGAAGCCTGAACCCAAAGCCCCATAGCGGAGCAACGCCGGGCCGCTGCGACCGCGCAGGCGCAAAGCGCAGGCCAAGCGCGAAGAGCCGAAGAGGGCAGGTGGCGAAAATATCCGAAGCGGCGGGGGTGCCCGAGGTCGCTGCGGACCGCCGCCACGAAGCCGCTGCTTGCCGCGCTAGCCGAGCCTCCTCTAGTACACTACCGCAGTCGCCGCCTCCTCCTTCCACCTCGAGACGCACTCCCCTTGCGGAGGGAACGAGTAAACGGGCAAGCGGCCCGGCCCAAGGAGTCTGCGTCCGCAGCCGGGCCTGAGACTACCTGAGCCAGTGAGGGGGAGGCGGGAGCGGTCGGGTAGGGGCGGAGCCAAGCGGGGCCGAGAACAGCCGAGTCGGCCCGAGCGCCGCCGAGCGAGCCCGAGGCGCCGGGCCTGGCCGAAGCCGGACTACGGGAGCCGACGCGGGCCGCGCGGTGGGCGCGGAGCGGCGCGGCGGGCCGGGCGGACGGCAGTAGTAGCGGAGGAGGCCGCGGCGGCGGGTCCGAGTGGCGGAGGCGGCGGGGGGCCGGGCGGCCGGGATCCTGGGCCCCGCGGCGGCGGCGGCGGCGGCGGCGGCGGCGGCAGGATGATCAAGCTGTTCTCGCTGAAGCAGCAGAAGAAGGAGGAGGAGTCGGCGGGCGGCACCAAGGGCAGCAGCAAGAAGGCGTCGGCTGCGCAACTGAGGATCCAGAAGGGTAGGGGGTCGGGAGAATGGGGGTGGGGGTCGGAGGTCAAGGCCTGGGGTAGGGTGATGTGGGAGTCAGGAGTGGGGTAATGCGGTCCCCGGGAGTCAGAGATGTCGGAGATCGGTGGGCCGCGGATGGGGGGTTCGGAGGTCAGAGCCTGGGGGTTGGGGTGATGGTGATCAGGAGTGGGGTAATGCAGCCAGCAGGGGGTGGGTCAGAGATTGGGGGCTGGAAGATGGAGCATTAGACTATTTGGCAAGCCAGGCGTCTGGTATTAGAGACTGGGAATCTGAGGGTCAGGCGGTGGAGGGCAGGTGTACGGGACTGGGGACCAGGGAGACAGGCAGAGGAAATGGGGATTATGGGAGTGGGGTACTAACAATGGTAGTGAGACAAGATTTACTGTATTATATTTGGGCCACTGGGTATGAGAGAGACGGGGTGGAGTAGGTTTTGGGGGCCAGGGATTTGTGGCTCTGGGGATCACATGTCAATTTGGGGTTTGGGGTGACAGGTGGAGGAGGGGGAGATAATACCAGGGTTTGGAGATAGGGTTGGGCTTAAATTTAGACTATCATGCTGGAGGTGTTAGGAATCTTAGACAAAGTGGCATAGGATAGGAGTCTAGGGACTAACTCTGGGTGTCAGATGGGGACTTGGGTTTAGAATGACAGTAGAAGCAAGAGAAGAGGGATGGTGGAAACAGGGGATTACTGAGGGATGATTGTATGAGGGGCAAGGTACTTCCCTTGGGTGGACAGAGAGGGACCAGCAGTGCCCACTAGAAGTCCAGGTCATGTCTGAAGATGCTAGGGTTTTAGGTAGTCAAAGGCTCTTCGGGGCCACATGGGACTGGGAGCATTTGGGAACGGGGATGCGTGTACCCAGCTATTGGCTGCTTGGGACTTGAGACTGTGGATTCAGAGAAGGTGGGGTTTATTCTAGGTTAAGAGCTAGGGCACAGCCACAGTTGAAGATGCATGTTTGGGGTGTGCTGTGGACCCAAAAGAGCCTGTCAGGAGACTAAGGAGCGGAAAGAGCAGGGAGAGGACTGGGGATGTGGAACAATGCCCCAGGGCTCCAGGAGGCTCTCCCGTAGGGGCTCTGTTGGCATCTGCTCTGAGTACACCCTACTCCTTTCTCTCTCTCTCTCTCTTTCTCTCTCTCCCCCACCACCACCTCCTCCTTTTCCTTTGTTCTTCTCTGCTATGCAAACCCAGACATAAACGAGCTAAACCTGCCCAAGACGTGTGACATCAGCTTCTCAGATCCAGACGATCTCCTCAACTTCAAGCTGGTTATCTGTCCTGATGAGGTGAGGGCACACTCAGCTGGACTCTAAAGCACGGATCCAGCACCTTGAATTGGGAGACCTGGTTCACCTCCCAGGCCCTGCAGGATCTGGCCATAACACCTTCCTCTTCTCTCCCCTCACAGGGCTTCTACAAGAGTGGGAAGTTTGTATTCAGTTTTAAGGTGAGTCCCAGGTAGATAGGGGTGTCTCCTAGGCTGAGGAGGCAACAGTTGAGGCCCCAGCCAGGCACTGCCATGGCACCTATCCCTATCCACCTTCCCTCTCTTTTGCTGGAGCCAGGTGGGCCAGGGTTACCCGCATGACCCCCCCAAGGTGAAGTGTGAGACGATGGTCTATCACCCCAACATTGACCTCGAGGGCAACGTCTGCCTCAACATCCTCAGGTGAGGGCTCTGGCCCTCCACTGCTTTCTCCAGCCCTGCCTGCAAACCCCTACCCCCCACCCCTCATGGCTTTGCACTACACCAATCTCCGTCCCTTTTCTCCCACAGTGGTCTATGTTCCTTGTCTTTTCATCTCCACATTTTCTTCCTCATGGCTTGACCTTGGCTTTCTCCCTGGCCTATCCTGCCCATGCCACCCACCATCCCACTCCACCCCTAGCCTCTCACATCTGCACAGTCCTGTGCCCTGGGCCTGACCTGTCCAGTCCCTGCAGGGCCTGTGATGGCTACCCACTCAGCAGCCCCTGACCATGATACTTTCTGCCCACAGAGAGGACTGGAAGCCAGTCCTTACGATAAACTCCATAATTTATGGCCTGCAGTATCTCTTCTTGGTGAGTAGGGGTGGGTAGGTAGGTGGGTGGTACCATGGGATGTTGGCCTTCTGCCCTTTGGGCCTGTTAATCCCCACTCATACCGGCCACAGGAGCCCAACCCTGAAGACCCACTCAACAAGGAAGCTGCCGAGGTCCTTCAGAACAACCGGCGGCTGTTTGAGCAGAATGTGCAGCGCTCCATGCGGGGTGGCTATATCGGCTCCACCTACTTCGAGCGCTGCCTGAAATAGGGTTGGCGTGCACCCGCCCCCTGCCAGGGCCACCAGCCCTGGCATCCCCTGCAAATATTTATTGGGGGCTACAGGTGGGGGTCATGGGGTGGCTGGTGGGGGAATCCCATACCCTGGCCTTGCCTCCCCTCCCTGCCACCCGCTCCTACTTATTTTTCTTTTTAACCACCATGTGATTAAGGTCGGCACTGCCTCCCCCGACCCACTCAGCTATGGGAAATGAATTGGCTTGTCTAGCCCCCCACCCCCGCTGGGTGCTATCCAGTCCCCCACTCTGGGCTCTGGGGTGGGTGGCCAAGAGGACTGGGTGGCCATGGACCCGGCACCCCACTCCTCCACCACTGGAGGTCCCACCAGGCTATTAAAGGGGAATGTTACTGCATGGCCTCTGCCTCTTCCTTCTGTGGGGTGGGAGGGGCAGATGATGTCCACCAGGGCTCCTGCAGCAACACTGGTGGGAGGTGTGTGGTCACAGGTGGCTTTGGGGCACCCCCTCAGCAGGCTGCACAGTGCTTAAGGCAGCACTGGGTATAGTGGGCGGACCATGCCCCAAGCCTCGGGCTTGGGATGAATCTCACTCTTGACCAAGGAGAGGCAGGATGTCGTAACTACTGACTTCCTGCCTGACATACCAGCATAGGGGAGAGTCTGCACCATCTCCAGCTCTGCCCCATTCTGCCTTGGGTAAGCCAGCGGAGGAGAACCCTCCTGCTTAATGCTGAGATCCAGAAACGTAAGGGAGAAGTCAGGGTTCCTAGGATGAGCTGGGCCCTCTAGTGGTTGACGTGGGGCTTCCGGCGTGGCACGACAAAAAGCGCTTAAAGGCGCACCAATCCCCCTGGGAATAAGACCCAGGACGTAGCTCGGCTTGGTTCCTCCGGAGGGCTTCAAACCTACGGGACACTCTTAGACCTGCCCCAGAGAAACTGAAGCTGGTGCGTGCGCACGCTCCCGGGAACCGGCCGGTGAACGAAAGCATGCGCACGCGCGGTCTTGTCGCCTCCCAGCATTCCGGGTGCTGGCAGGACGTGTGACGTCAGGCCGTTTAATCCGGAAACGGCGTCGGCAGAGGAGACAGAACCGAGGGGCTGTCTGTTGGTGGGCGCTCTCGGGATCCGAGCAAGAGGAGCGTGACCCGGAAGCGGAAGCGGGTCACCGTCCGAGCTCCGGTGAGTGGCCCCTGCCAAGCTGTGGGTCCTGGGTGGGCCCTGGGCTGGCTCTGGGCGGTAGCATACTTAGGCCTCTTCGCACGGGTATCGAGTGCCTCGCCCTTCCCTGAGACCCTGGCCTCATCATCGGGGTCTCCTACGCCGCCTTGCCCTCGGTGCGCAGGGGTCCCCGACGACCCCAAACCTGTGTTGGGTCTACACTGCTCCCCAGTGCCCATCATGCCCTCTTTGGTGTACAGTGTCGCACCCTTCTCCCCCACCACCCCACAAAGTCGTATTCTCCGACCCCAGGTTTCCTCAGCATTACGGGTCTTCCCAATCCGGATGCCATTCATACTCAGGGCCCCAGTTCCCATTCTGTTTTTGGCACTCAGGGCCTCCAGCTATCCTTCCCTCCCCTGCCAGGGGCCCCTGCAACTGCCCTGCCCTTGGCGGCCAGGATCCCAAATGCCCCAGTGCACCTACACACGTACGTCCACGGCGAAGACTCCAGGGCCTCACCCCCTACTGGGTTCTGGAGAGGGAGGCTGCAGCCTTGAACAGGCACTAGGAAGGAAGAGGAGCCAGGGTGAATACCTTGTAGATGACTCTAAGATTTTGCTGTCTCCACTTGTGTCCTCGGGATTACCCCAGTGTTGCAGGCTGCGCTCTTGCCTTCCATTCACTCCCCTTTCCATTTTGCTGGTCCCCTGCTACCTTACCCATCTGTACACACAATGACCCCAGCTCTTGCCCTCTTTCTGAGCCCCACAGTTGATTCACACTTGCCCCAGGCCCACTGGCAGGCTCCTGCCGCCATGGACCTGTTGTTTGGGCGCCGTAAGACACCAGAGGAGCTGCTGCGGCAGAACCAGCGGGCCCTGAACCGTGCCATGCGAGAGCTGGACCGTGAGCGACAGAAGCTGGAGACCCAGGAGAAGAAAATTATTGCAGACATCAAGAAGATGGCCAAGCAGGGCCAGATGGTGAGCTCTGCTGGGTGTGGGCTGGGACGCAGATCTAGATGTTGCTTGGTCAGGCACCTCTGTGCAGCAAATGGGACAAACAGGACACTGACAAATAGGTGCTTCGAGGAAAATGGATTAAAGGGTAAGCAGAGCTTCCCTAGTTTGGGGGTTCAAAAAGGCTACCTCCAAGGAGTTGGTATCAGAGCCAACCCTTGAGTAATAAAGAGAAAGAACTTGTGAAGATCGAGGTAGCAAATGTGTCAAGCAGACAGAACATCAAAGGTTAGATAAGGGAGGGTGATAGGTGAGCTCAGAGTGATGTGGGCCAGACCACTCAGAATCATGGGCCCACAGTGGGAGCTGAGTCAGAAGGTTTACTGCAGGAGAGACCTGACCTGGGATACAGTTTGACCTGGGGGCCAGCAAGAAAAGAGGTGGATGCAGCCTGAGCCTGTAGGGAGCCAAGACTATGTATGACAGATGACAGTTTTGACCTCAACAGCTGAATTGAGGTGGTCCTATTTCCTAGGATGAGCAAAGGTAAGGAAGAGGTTTGGAAAGGAAATCACAACTGGGCTTGGATAGGTTTGACTTAGAATAAAGAACTTGAGGTGAGGGCCTCTGTCAGGTAGCAGAGGCAGATTCTTTAGGCCGACTGGAAGTTCAGGAATGGGTGTTAAAAGTCAAGGGAGTGGCTCTAGACAGTGGAAGGAAAAGGACCCCTAAGAAGTAAGCCTGGCTTCCAGCATTTATGGGCCAGAGGAACCTGTGGATTCGTGACCAGTAGTCACGAGGGCAACGTTTAGGAGGGTGGGATGGAACAGTGACCATGGCCCACTCCCTGCCACTTTTCTCCACCCCTCAGGATGCCGTGCGCATCATGGCAAAGGACCTGGTGCGCACAAGGAGGTACGTGCGCAAGTTTGTGTTGATGCGGGCCAACATCCAGGCTGTGTCCCTCAAGATCCAGACACTCAAGTCTAACAACTCAATGGCGCAAGCTATGAAGGGCGTCACCAAGGCCATGGGCACCATGAACAGACAGGTGTGCCTCTCCCAATCCCTCTCCCTAACCCTACTAACCTCAGGGACCAGACTCACCCTCCCCCCACTTCCAGCTGAAGTTGCCCCAGATCCAGAAGATCATGATGGAGTTTGAGCGCCAGGCTGAGATCATGGACATGAAGGAGGAGATGATGAACGATGCTATTGATGATGCCATGGGTGATGAGGATGATGAAGAGGAGAGGTTCGAGGACACCAGGATGGAGGGTGGGGATGCATGCCTGGCCCTCACACGTGCCCAGCCCTGAGAGTTCCTTTTCTCTTCCCTAGTGATGCTGTTGTGTCTCAGGTCCTAGATGAGCTGGGATTGAGCCTGACAGATGAGCTGTCAAGTGAGTGCTCTAATTTTGGACGCTATCCAACCTAATGGCCCAGACACAAGCCCAACCCTCTACCAGTATTACTCATTTCCACAGGGGTTGTTCTAACACCCCCCTTTTCTGCAGACCTTCCCTCCACCGGAGGCTCACTCAGTGTGGCTGCTGGTGGGAAGAAAGCGGAAGCTGCAGCCTCTGCCCTGGTCGATGCTGATGCAGACCTGGAGGAGCGGCTCAAGAACCTGCGGAGGGACTGAGCACCCCATGGGCCAGTGATGCCCGGCATTTTCACTGTACTTTCTGTAATAAAAGAGACTGAACACTAGCTCCTGGGCCTGTGTGAAAGGCCTGATGTGGGGGATACCCTGGGGTTTAGCAAATAGGCAGTTGGCCTGGGTGGCAAGAAAACAAGTGCCAAATTAGTTGGGGTGTGGGATAGGGGAGGCTGGATTTTCTTGGGTGGACAGGCCAAGCTCACCTGGTGTGTTTGGGGTTTAAGAGCTTAAAACCAGCTGTGGGCTGTCCTCTAGTAACCCTCCCAGGCCTCCAATGCCTGGGCCTCAACACTGTAACCCAAAAGATGGTAGACTGCCAAGATACCCTGGTAGGATCCCCAGGGTCCAGGCCCATATGCTGAACTCAACTAGATCTAGTGGGAGCCTCAGCCAAACCAACTCAGTGTGAGGCCTATCTAGTTATGGAAAATGGTTAACTCAGGTCCAGAAAGCACTTGAGAAGAGTGGCCACGATGCAGCACATACCTGAGGCCTCATCCCATCTGCCCACCCACAGGACATCCAATAGAACAGTAAGCGCACCATGTGACCCTTCCACCCACCCAAAGCACTCCCCTCACCAGGGAAGACCCAGGAGGGACCTTCTGCACTTCCCAGGTGCCCAGACAACTGGGGACAAGTGCCCCCACCCCTACACAGCCCAACCAGGGCCTGGTAAGGGAATGATGCAGGCAGAGACCAGGCCCCAAGACCACTGCCCCCACCAACCAAAGCCTGAAGAACTGATGAAGTTTTTATTAAATCCACAGAAGTAAAAACCATATTGTGAGGGGATGGGGGATGGGGCCACCAAGGAGTGGGAGCCAAGCCACCAGAGGGAGAAGGCAGGGGAGGGTGACAGGACAGAGCCAAGGTGGGTTGGCCCAGGGTGGGGCCCAGCCTCAGGGGCCATCACCAGAGCCACTGGACAGCTCCTGGGCACTTGGGCCTGCACCAGGCAAGCTCAGCGGTGGGGGTTCCACCAGCACAGCAGAGAACTTGGTATCACCAAAGGCTTCATTCATGCGAGTCTCAAAGAAGCGCTGCAGGCCGATGATGGACTGTACATCTGCCTTGTCCTGCACCGAGCAGATGGCAGTGGGTGGCTCCCAGTTCTCCATCCCACCTGCCTGCCCCATGCCCCCGAGCCGCACTCTCCACAGCTCACCTCTGTCAGCTTGTTGAACTGCTTGAACATGCGTCCCACATCCTGGGCAAACTCCTGGGGGGAGCTGTAAGGAGGTGACAACTTCTCCTGGAGGCGGGCACGGATCAGGGTCAGGTCCAGGGTGCCACCAGGCTGATCCTGTAGGCAGAGACCACACCCTGAAGGTGAGGCCAGGCAGCCCCTCCAACCCCTCCCGACACCTCAAGTCCCAAGACTCACCAAGGAGAAGGTGGAGTCAGTAGCTAGCTGGTGCAGGGGCCGGCAGGGCTCGTGACAAAACAGGGCCAGCAAGACACGCTCACACTTCTAGGGACATTACAGGGGGCATCAAACACAGCCGGGGGAACGCCATTGCGCAACCCCTAAAGGAGCAGGTCCCTGCCCTCACCTGTTGGTTAGCTGGTGAGAGTTTAGCCACCACACCAGTGCTGTTGCCACCATCCAGGCTCAGGCTGCCATCTTCCTCCTTCAAGTCAGGTAGCACATGGCAGAGCGAACAACTCCACTCCTCCCTGGAGAGAAGAGAGAATGAGGTGCTGCACCAGGACAGAAGGCAACCCTCCACAATGCAGACCCCACACGAGCCTCGCACCCTGGCACATCCTGCAGGGCAGGCAGGTGGCAGTCCAGGTGGAAGCAGAACTCGCACTGGTTGCACATGACCAGGTCGCCTGGCTTCTGGCAGACACGGCAGATGGTGGCACTGTCATCCAGGGCACCTGGGCCACCAGCTGGGGCTGAGGTACCCTCTGGAGCCACCACTTCTAGGCCTGAGCTGGTGCTGCCGCTGGGTGAGGCCATGCGGGGGCCCTCAGCACTGGGGCCCTCTGCCAGGGCCATCAGCACAGGCTTAGTCTCAGGACCCTCTGCGGCAGCAGGTGGGGCTCCAATGGCAGCCTCTGTCTCTTCCTCCTGCAAGGTGGAGGGTGTTCAACAATGTGCAGGCCTGGGCAGCGGTCATCCATCTCCCAGCAAAGGTGACTTGGGGTAGGCTCACCTTGACGATGGCCATGCCGGGAAGGGGCGGGGCACCAGGGGCCACGGGGGGTGCAGTCCCAGGCTGCCCAGCAGCAGCAGCTGCCGCACCACGCTCAATGACGATGAGGTTGTAATCCTCGGTGGTGCTGCCTGGGAAGACCTTGAAAACTGGTGGTTGGCTGTCTGCTGTAAGGTCCAGATCCAAGCGCTCAAGGCTTAC